ACTTGCTCTTCGGAAGAAGGCAGCGCTCTAAGATTTTAGGTCCTCCGTTTGATAGCATGCAACTCATTGACACAGCAGTGTGTACACGTACCTAGAATACAGTTATGTAAGCTTACTTCTGTCACCATCATCATCACACAGGGTAAAAACGTACCTACAAGCAGTTACTGTTATTCATCACTAGCGGCCCGGATCTTTTTAGAGGCTAGAGCGGAGAACTTGCGGCGAAGAGGTTTTTTTTATTATCTCCGCATACGGACCAACTAATATTATTACTTGCACAGTGAACTGTCAATCGGAGGACTTCTGCAGCCACACGCATCCTCCCTAGTTTTGCTTCGTCACCAGTTCGTGCCGAATACACTGATGCACAGGACTAGGAATTAGAAATTTTCAGTGAAAATCCTTGCGCTAGTATGACCAACAACCACTCGGTGTCTTGTATGGCTTGTCATGTTTCGCCATTGCGGTAGGCCGTGGCCAAAGTAAATCTACTGCGACCTAGTACCTGAGCCACTTTCTAACCTACTACTAGCACTAGTACTTCCATTAGCACAATACGAGGAACATAACACAGAATAATATTTCTGCTCCTTCCATTTATCTCGTCCGGTACAGTCGTGGAAGAACGAATGAATATCATGACTGATTGTTCACTTCCGCAGATGACTTACATGTGATTGTACAGTACATGGATGTGTGTAGAATCTACGTGTGTGTGTTGTAACATGTAGATCTACAAGTAACAGTTGGTTTACATAAATCATTCTGGTGTAGACCATGGTAGACCGTCGACGCGTCCACTGCACTGATGATAATGATTGATGTCGCAATAAAAATAATTGTGACGATTTCGCGGTAGATCTACGAGATTGCAAGTAAAAATTAGTTATGACACGGCATGTCGGGACTTTAGCAATAGTCAATACCGTTAGTTTAGGACCAAGCTAGCTAGCTCGCTCTAACAAAAGGTCAAAGATCAAAAGTACAAAGTTCAGTGACTACTACTGCGTTTGTAAACATTCGTTCCGAAACTCCGCGAGTACTTATACTACATGCTACAAGTATAAGCAAGAGTACATGACCCCCCCCCCCCCCGGGGTCATGTACTCTTGGTGTTAGTTGAAAAGATATTATTGTCCAAAAAGAACTAGCATCATCAGAATCGTAACACAAAAATGGCACATAATTGCACCTATGTGGCTATGGGTAAAGTAAGGGAATCATGGCTTATTCGCTTTCAGCTTTCTGACTGCTGGAATTCTCTCCCATGGGGCGCAGCTGACATTCGCTCTTGCTCCTCATTTTCACTATTCCGCAAATCTGTACGTGATCACCAGGGCACCCTGTAAAAAGGCCTTAGGCCTGTGGGTATTGCCCTATTCAAAATTTAAATAATAATACTAGAGCGGTTGTCAGTTGAGAAACCCCTCTTATTAATAACAACGATTGTTGTCTAGCTATTTACATGTATTTTTTCGCTTTCTTTTTGCTGTCCCACCCATGGAACTATCTTGCCGGTGGGACTGGCTTTTCGCCTTTGAAAGGAGTGAATAAAGGAGAAATAATAATCAAAGGATCAGGGAGGAGACCTGTTGCGATACTAAAATATCAAAGAAAACAAAAGAAAATGAACAGTCCTACCGGTATATATTGTAGTATCGATTCTGAAGTGGTTGGTATCCTATCAATGTAGTGAGTGCATCGGCGATAGTGCTGGCAGAGGGAATGTTTGACTTGAATTCGGGGAGGGTGATTGGATGCTTGGACATGCCACATTCGAAAACAAGATGGGTCGGAATTATAATAATCATATCCGATCACATTTGGATAGCATGGACGACAAAAACTTTGCGGTGCGACTAAACTATTGAAACATGTCGCAGTACTGAGGTTGTAAAAAGCAGTTGCACACTTCTGAGGTCACAGACTTCATTCCTAGTAGTGAGTAGCATTTATTATTTTGTTTCTCAAGCGTTTAGCATGCTACCAAGAGTACTTTGCATCAAGACTTAAGAGTGTGCAACTGCTCGAACAACCTCTATCCAGTGCTGCTAGGCAGAACTTCACATCACGTGACATGGTTCAATATACAAGTACACTGTTACACGGCTATGCTAGAAAAGATTTTGAGTGCACCTGTAGTGGGGTTTTCAATCCATTTATTTTCTTCTGCAAGTGAATCTGCTTCTGGCAGTGACCGTACAAAGACCTACAAATGAAGCGTATTGGTCTCTAATAATAATAACAGTACGAAAACATAATTTTTATCTTCCCTCGTGCAGCTAAGCTTGCAATGTTTGCTTTGAGCCGATTTAGAAAACGCTTTCTTGTTCACTAGATCTTTAGACCTGAGCTCACTGCAGCCAGTAAATGCACTGTGACCCTGAAAGGGTTAAGCTGAGACCGAACAAGGTAGAAACAGCTATCGGTCCGGAGACTGATATGATTGCCCCACATCTTATAATATTTTTCTGTGCATGGCGGTACTGAACACAGAGGTCATGAATGATCAATACCCACTGAATACAATGAAACACAGGGGAAATACACGCGCAACACCACAACCTCCAGAGCTAGAGGCAATACAGCAATTCACGTACCCTAAACGGGAAGGTCGAAGGTGCCAAACGCGCCATATTTGGTGAGGAATGGAGCCAGCCTATTCCAAATGAAAGAGCTCGGCAACAGAATGAAATAGGAAAGTAAGCCAACTCTGGGAGCACCACCTGTGTGCTTGTCGCCTCCTTGTAGCCTTTCAGACAGCCGCCTGCATAACACCACCTCAGCAATCAAGGAATCCGAAACAGGTAAGAGGACAAAGTGAAAGAGGCGCAGTCTTGCAGCTCAGGCAGTGCTTCAGGCCTGGTCTGCACACATATCAAGCAGATATGTTTCGTATTTTCGCGGCTTGGTGAGTCGCGAGTTGGCGGCCGATGACGGCGCGCGCGCGCGGTGGAGAGAAACAAAAAAAACACCGGTATACCACGCGCCAATTCACCGTTTAAATGCCAGTTTATCACCAAACAGCGCTGAAAAGAGTCGTGCGTGAGCATAATCACTGGCCTGGGTCCATGATCCACTACGACAAACATGTACTGGTCATGAGGTTAGCACCTTTTCGTACCGGTTCAATCACGTACAAAATCTACGGCGCGGATGCAGGATGAAGCCTTGACACACTGTGACATGACAAGTTCAAGAACCTGACAGCTGAAGTACAAATATAACGCCATTACTTTTGATTATGTCAGTCTCTACAATGTACAGTCTGTATCATGGGAGTCGTCAAATACCAGTATTTGACGACTCCCTGGTCTGTATCGGCTATAGCGTACGAGTCGTACCCTTTTGATTTCCGTGATTTTATCAATACAACCGATGCATCACTATAATTATGCGATACGACCGATTTTTTTTCTTTTTTTCCGATCGACACAATAGTCATGAAAGGCAAGGAAATACTTCCAGCATGGCGTTTTGACAAAGGAGCATGCTGCATAGTTGGCAGAAATAATTCTGTTATGTACATGTACATGTATCACTATAAAAATAAGCAACGTGAAGAAAGTAAAAAATAGGGCCTTTGATATTATTGCTACATGTATTTTAAAGTTATCACTAGAGCCGATAACCGCAATCAGTAATACAAGCTGGATCGACATTTGTAATACAAGCTGGATCGACATTTGTGTACACTGTATTCATGTATTGTAAAACTGTGGAGACAATGTGCAATAAAACGATGAAAAATGTGAAGAAATTGTGTAGAGAAAGAAAGGGATTCAAACAAGTTGTCTTTCCTTCCTTTCTCCTTTGTTCATTTCTCGCTTTGATTGTTAAAATTCACACTTGTAAATTTCACTGTTGTTGCTCTTAGTGTTATTTCTCTAACTTAGATTTTCTATAATAGTTCAATTTTTGTTTCAGTGTCCTTTAGACAGTTTAGTACTGCTGTTATCATAGACCTGATCCTGGCCACAGTGTCCTGGGTACGAGCGTACGCACTCTCCCTGGAAATTTGAATTTTTGATTTTCACAGAAACAATTTTTCGCTGACACGGGTCACATTCTTGCGTTTCTAGGACTGTTCTACGCATGAAAGAAGAACAAGAACCACATACAGTGAGTGACTACAACATGATAGACCACACCAGAAAATTTGAAGACGATCGGTGAAGGTTGAGCTGAGTTCTGACACGATCTGTTGAAACAACTTCATGTCGCTCGTCATCACGATTGAGTAGCATCTCCGTTCTTGATAGACCCTTCCCTTCGTGTTCCAGAAGTTATTTTTCATGTTTGGTGAGTTTCTCGTCGGACCTCAGGTCTTTCTCGATCGATTGCCACCTCACTCGATCCGAACGAAACCTAAACTACCGAAACGAAGCCTGCGCTTTTTTGGCTGTTTTTCCTTTTTTACGTGTAGATCTATAGAATGGATCGTCATGTTCGATTACTGGGTCTTTTGTGTCGCGTCGGCGGTGTTCCGCTAGCCAAGCAGAAGCAGAAAACTACGTATTCTGTTTCTGAGAATGCCGAGGGTATTCTGAAATGTTTTGAAGTGGATATCACACAGGACCAACCACACGTGCACCCTACACAGATTTGCAGTACATGCTACAAGGCTGTGAATTATGCTTTGAGCAAGTCAGAGTATACACGTTGTGGTGGAGGATGTGCCGAGCCAAGTAGCTGGCTTCCCCATGATCATGTGCATGAGGATGGTACCACAGTATGCAGGGTATGTACTACCATTGAGCAAGCCGCCAAAGGTGGTCGTCCGGCTAAGAAAAAGAGAACAACAAAGCCACCTGCCCGTACAGCGGCAGCCGTTACATCCACGTGCACGTCTACGCACACAGGCACCCACCAGACACGGTCTCAGACAACAGGGATCAACTCGGAGAGTCAGAGTACATGTTTACAGAAATTGTATGATGTAGCAACACCAAGCTATGCAGCCAACAAGAGTCTGAGCACAGATAGATTCATCGGATGCCAAGCTATATTACAATTTATACTGAGCTTGTATACAAACTCCCATCTCTCCCCACACAACACTCCAGACTTGTATTTTGCATATAACAGGTACTTCGATGACGAGAATATAAACTGGTATATAAACTGGTATATAAACTGGTGTATAAACCGGTATATAAACTCCTTTTTTTTAGGATCACACTAGGGGAGTTTGTATATCAGCTCAGTATAAGCATAATATAACCTACTCAGTTGAATATGGGAAATATAAACCAATATACAAACCTCGGCTTCGCCTCGGTTTGTATACAGGTTTATATTTCCCATATAATCAACTGGTTAGGTTATATTATATACGTACACTATGCAGCAATGTGCTAGAGAGAGCCGTGGAAGCAGACTGCTGTAGAAAGAGCTTTTGTTCCGCATGTGTGTGGGAGTGGCTGGCTTCTGATACAACATGCCCTGTATTCGATATTTCTGAAGACTGTATTATTGTACCACAATGAGCGTAACGATTCCACAAAAGGCGATCGTTCAAACCAGGTAACAACAAAGAGCAAACTAAACTCAAAACCAAAACCAAAACAACAACTGCACCAGCAAGCTCTTTCCTTGCACTAACTACAAATACATCAAAAACCAAGCAGCAAAATGCAAATCCGCACGCATGTTTGCCGGAACTGAACCTCCGTAGCGCAGCTGATCATCGCGGCTGCACGGGACGACCTTCCCGCCACAGTAGGGCAAAGAACTATGCATGGAACTAGCAATGAATGCATGCAGCACACCAGCAAGCTGTCCCTACGCAGACGTCTAGTCTAGCGTGAGCAAGGATGAATAGCATGAGAAACATGATATGACACATTGACTCCTATGATGCATGCAATGTATACAACATACCCCCCACCTTGAACGAACCAGGGGAGAGTGAAACTACACCAAAGGAAGATACTAGTATGTAGCACACAGCACATAGAGGAATAAGTGCCTAATGCTCTAGAAAGCAGCGAGAAAATGAGGTGACGAAAGTGTACTGTGTTACTAACTAACGTCTGTTCCATTAGTGTCTTACTGCAACTCATCCAAGTCAAGGGCTGCCGACTGAGATACCGCAGTGGCTGCTTCAGCTGTCAGGATATCGAGCGACACTAGGTATCGAACACCACGCCGATATTTCTTGCCGTTGACCTGGATGTCCATGACGCGAACAATGCCGTCCTTGCCAGGGAACGTGGCCTTCACGCGTCCTAGCGGCCATCTGTAGCGTGATAACGCATCGTCCATGACGAGGAAGACGTCTCCAATCTCGACCGTGCCCGATTGGCGGCGCCACTTAGTCATGATGTTCATAGCAGAAACCATTTCTCTTAGCCACCGCTTCCAAACATCTCTGAGGAGCTGCTGGATAACTTTCCAGCGATGGTATGGGTGAACTGGCGTGGACTCTGAGTCTGCCGCCATCTCCAGAGCTGTTGCGATGTTGACATGACCCACGACGAAGTTTGCAGCTCCTCGTCGGTCAGGCTAGCCTTGTACAGGACTGACTGGAGTGCCTTTTTCAAGGCCCCGACCACCCTCTCAAATGCTCCGCCGAAGTGCGGCCGAGCTCTTCCCCGCGATGGTACAGGAGGTAGCGGCCATGGAGGTTTCCGTGGCGGCGGCAGAGGTGGCGGTGATCGCGGTGGATTAAACTGCCATCTGATGCCTTGAATCGCCAACCCAGCTGTGATGTTGGCTTGATCCAAATCCCTCAGCGCTTCCTGCAGTTCACGATCGGTAGCAACGAAGTTACTGCCGTTGTCGGAGAGGATCAGTGTTGGTCGACCTCGGCGATGGCACAACCTTGCCAAAGCCATCTCCATGCCCTCGACATCCAGAGAACGCACTACCTCCAGGTGGCACGCACGGGTCTGCAGACATGAGAACGCAGCTATATAGCGCTTCTCTTTCGATCGTCCGCGTCCCATCTTGACCAGGAAAGGCCCAGCGTAGTCTACTCCAGTGTGAGCGAATGCCTGTAACGGTCCGCTTGTCCGGATGTTTGGCAAGTTCCCCATCTTGGGCTCAGCGACACGTCTCCACAGCTTCTGGCAACGGACACAGCGGTGACGGTAGGATTTAACGACCTGGCGACCCTTGATGATCCAATACCGATCGGCCAGGTTAGAGAGCAGATGGTTCGTGCCTGCTCCGTGTTGACAGCGTTCATCCGCATGCCCAACAATTAGCTGAGTGACGCGATGATTGGCGGGCAATATCACACGGGACCGGAACTGGTCAGACAGGTGGTGTGAGGTCCGGAGCCGTCCACCAACTCGGAGCAGCGGTGGACCGTCAGTGTCCAGGAACGGCTGTAGCTTCGTTAGCGGTGCACTGGGTGGAAGAGGCTTCTTCTCCTTCAGCGTTGACACTACTTCTCCGTAGCACTGCCTCTGCGCATAGCTTATCCAGAGCCGCTCGGCGCCTTGGAGTTCTGTGACCGTCAATTCGGGAACCGAAACAGCCTTAGCACTCTTGAGAGATACTTGCACGGTAGCACCTGCGTTGCTGTCACACTGCTGAGGTCGGCCTCTGGTATTATCAAGGAACCGTTTACACCAGGCTGTGACCCGCAGAAGATTGCTCCAGGACGAGACGTTGTCTGGGTGCAGGCGGCATGTCGTCTGCTCTGCCTGGATCTGGCTAGTGAGAGTCATCGGGTGCGGTCGCTGAAGCAGTGCCGGAAGAACCTGGGGCAC